TTAGGGGAAAACACAGAGACCACATCAAAACAGCATCCTATTTATCCAGAATATCCCGTGGAAACAGGGTAGCTCCGATGGACTTACTTTGTAGACGTTCTCAGTTATACGGTGCACCTCGTCGGCACGAGACATCTTGGTGGCTTCGGTCTGAACCATAGACAAGAAATTCCCTTCCGAGAAAAAGAGGCTATCCGAGAAAATTACACAGTGGAAAAAAACGCTAACGACGTGAGACCGCCGGGAGAAAGTTCGTGCGAGTGATTTAAGGCTCGGCAGAAATCACAGCTTTTATATTAAAGTCGTGCCTCTGCACCCACACTATCCCACGCACGCAGTCGGGTAAGCGGCCGGGAGAGAGGCAGCGCCGTCGTGCAGGCAGGCGCTCTCCATTTAAACTGACACCGCCCCCTCTCCCTGTCAGGACCGCCCATCGGCCCACCTCCCTGCTGTAACCCTTAGAAACAGCCTCCCTGCCCGGCGTCACTCGTCCCGCTCTTCACTTTTCCGTAATTAAGCGGCCTCCTCGCACTCTGAACGGCTGGTTGCCGTGCCGAGCATCCTCTGCTCGGACGCGCGTGCGGTCGCCTGGGTAAGGAACCGTCCGGCGCGTTGGAAGGCCGCGAAGACTGAAAACCGCATCATTGTCCGCACCTTTTCCGCTCGTCATTTTGCGGCCGGGAGCGTGGACCGTGCAGGAGGATATGGGTAGGGTCGCAGTGTTCTTTCTCGCTCAAAACTCATGCGACATGCAGGCACTGCCTCACTGCCCCACATTCCCCCAGCCAAGTGAAGCGGAATTCCCTTTGCAAACCCCAGTTTAGCACAATCAGCACTTTAGACCAGGAATGCTGTGTTTAATGATCCACCAAAGATTGATTTTTAAGATCGATCTTATGCAACACCTCACAGGCACTAGAGAGAGAGAGAGAGAGAACGGCGAAGAGAAACCCTATTTATTTCAGAAGAGAAACCCTTTTTATTTCAGCGCGAGAACGTTGTAATCAACTTGGGAACGTTTGTGGTTGTCACGTGACCGCGACGTCATGGATCCAGGTCCTCGGTGGCGCGCGGCTGCTTTCAGCAAGATGGCACGCGGTACTGGAGGTAACCGCAATCAATCTGAACCAGAGGTGCTTAACAAGCGCCAGTTATATCAGCTGACTGGACAGGTGCTCCTCCCTGTAAGTAACTCCACACAGTAACGGGAATAGTGATACCCTCCCTCTCCAACCATACTGCAGAAGCAATTTCGTGAATTCTGTCTTAAAAATCCGGTATGCTGCTATCACATTCCTGCATGTTAATTCAATATGTATTACCATGCAAGACTGATGAGTGGGCAGGCTGGGTGCCAGGAGAAAATACAGAGGGGTGCAACTGCAATCCATGGGGTGCACAAGAAATTCATAAATACTATGTAGACATCAGGATGTAAGGAGACAGCTGGGGGTGGCACCGAGGTCCATCTGGGGGTGCAATGCACCCCTAAGCACCCCCATAGCACCGGGCCTGTGTGTGGTAGCAGTGTGACTTAAAGGTCAGGGGCAGAGGTCATAACCTGAGGTCACAGATTCAACTCCCGGGCAGGGAACTGCTGCAATACCCCTGAGTAACGTTCCGAAAGCAAACGACCTCAGTATCCAGCTGCATAAACAGGTCACATAAATTCTGTTAACATAACACAAAAAAGTAAGTTATGTAAGTTTCTAAGGATAAGAATGCCTGATAAGCAAGTGAAATATGATTTAATTAAATATTTGTGAATCCCCTAAATACATTAAGACAACCTGAATCAGCAAATGTAAGTTCCAATAAACGGTAACAGTGTAATGCTTTGAAAAGGCACAAGCATTTTAATAAATATTGTAGGAGCCTGCGGTGAAGCAGGGGTGTGTGTGTGTGTGTGTGTGTGTGTGTGTGTGTGTTTGTGTGTGTGTTTGAAAGAGGTAGGTGAGAGTGAGGTGTTTGCTTTGCGCGGGTGGCAGTGGGCAGGAATAACTGTTAGTATTCATGGTGAAATGCAGAAAGGCAGAAAAAAAACAGCGCTCTTGTGTACCGAGTGGGCAGGGAATCCTCTGCCTCCTTTTCAGATGGTCACGATGTCGGCAGAGAAACCCACCGCTTTCTCCTGTCAGTCTCTCTCCCTCTGTGAAAACACAGAGAGTGTGGAACCGCATGCAGTGTGTGAATAAGTCCGAATGTTCCCCTCTGTGTGCGAACGGCAGCGTCCGGGGTGAGCGTGAGGGGTGCGGTAAACTGAGGCGATGGAGGGAGTCCTGTGCATGCATTTACATTACATAACTGTCATTTTAGCAGATGATCTTCTCCAGAGCCACTTGCACAGGTTGCAGTTTTTACATGTTATGCATTTAAACAGCTGGATATTTACTGAGGCAATTCTGGGTTAAGGACCTTGTCCAAGGGTACAGCAGCAGTGCCACAGCTGGGAATCAACCCAGCAACCTTTTGGTTACGAGCCCTGCTCCTTACAGCTATGCTACACTGCTGCCCGCTTACAGCGATGACTTTGACCTTTGACCTTCCTTAGCTCTGCCGCTAAAGCCCTGGTCTGGGCAGAACCTGCTGGCTACACGCGAGTCCTAAGTCTATAGAAGTGACCTGGGCATGGGACACCTCACAGTGAAGGGCTTGCGGGTTTGAATCCATGCTTTGCCTCTGTACTTTGGCTGCTGTGCTCTTGACTGGGGAGCTGAATTGCCAGAGAGAGGATTTCTGCCTGCCAAAGCACCCGTGTTTAGTGATAGCAGTATTAGCTCACCAGTACCCCCAACCACAACACAAAACCCCCTTACATTATGGTTTAGAGAAACAGTGTGTTTGGATAGGTCAGCCATAAAGTAGGCAAGCAGCCCACACTAATACTCCGAGTGACAAAGCTGTTTTTGCAACTGAGTTTGTACTGACATCCTGAGAATACAAGACACACATGCGTTACTTGTCCCATTTTCGTGGACTGAAAGCGTTTTTGTTGAGGTAAAAGAGGCCAGTGGCCTGGAAAAGAAATATCAAACCTACGATCTGATGGCAACATAAACGAAAATAAGTAAACCAGCACGCAGACTTAGCTGAGCGGAGATCCGAATCAGCTCACTGATGCTGCGCTGCTACATTTACGGTCGGTCATTTAGCTGGCGCTCTGATCCAGAGCAATACGACTGACAAACAATAAGGAACACAAAGAGCAGCGCAGGCACAAATTAACCGATGACACAACCGAAGCAGTTCCATTGCATAACACAATGCCGGAATCGACGCAATGTTACGCAAAAGCGCCTCAGTGAAGTGGGTCACATAAATAGGCCCAAATATAGTTCTGCAAGAGCGGTCAGAAAGGAGCAGCAGCAGCAATCAGGAACCTGTGCCGTTAAGAATGCCAGCACCCAGGGAGTCTGCGCGGGGGGGGGAGCCGACGGCCAGTCTGAAGGGGTGCTATTCTGAGAAATACGGGGATGGCGTTCGAAAACTGGGGGGCCAGAAGTGAGAACAGCTATGATGCGTCCGTTGAGTGGGGTGCACTGTTCGAGGACCAGAGGGTGACGGTGGCAGGGCAGTCTGGCGGGGGTGTAAGGGTTTGATGATGGCCTGCACATTAATGGGAGCTGTGAACACCCACACAACATGGGCAGCAGGGCTTGTGCCCACAAGGTTGCAGGTTCAATTTTCCATTCAGGCACTGCTGCTGTACCCTTGGGCAAGGTCCTTAGCCCAGAATCGCCTCAGTAAGTATTCAGCTGTATAAGTGGGTTACATCTAAAGTTGTAAACTATGTAAAGCCACTCTGGATAAGAGCTTCTGCTGAATAACAATAATGTAAGGTCCCTATTTTTTATACTTTGGAAGGTTATAGACAAGTCAAGCCACACCATTCAGGATAAGATGGGGGAGGTGTTGTGGCACACCCACAGAGAACAGCAAGGAGAGGGTTATGAAGGTTCAGATGGAGAACACACGTGCGTGGTCTCGGAGCTAGGCTCAGCGGGAGGTGACAAAAGGGTGGGTTGAATGGATTTTGCGGAGGAAGAATCTGCAGGTCGAGGTCACTGACACGGTATTCTCAGCGGAGGAGAGTTTGCTGAGGGGGCGATTTGCTCCGCTGATGCCAAAAAAAACCACCCCATCACCTCCTCACCACGGAACAATGTCCTGGAGTCATGCACACAGGCTTGCACACAAAACAGGACCGGTAACTGCAGCAATATCACCAGCGCCACCTGCTGGACAGAACGGAATGCTGCAATGGCTATTAGGGAAACGCCGGATTACATTTTTATGGTGCCCTTCAATGATTTTGTAGAAGAACCAGTAATCGTACATTTCATAAATCTCATTCAGGGTGACTTACACAGATTAACATTTTTACATGTTATCCGTTCATGCAGCTGGGTATTTACTGAGGCAATTCCAGTTAAGTGCCTTACTGCAGTGCCCCATCCGGGAATCAAACCAGCAACCTTTGGGGGTGCAAGCCCTGCTCCCTACTACTGCACTGTTCTTCTACCCGCAGGGTGAAGCAGAGTGACTCATCTCATCCACCGCTAAAGTGTAGCTCCACCAGGAGGTGGGAGGGTGCACAGCGGCCATTCTGGACCACAGCCATCACCATGCTTTAGTGGAGGTGGAGAAGGAGGGGATTCTTTAACCAGCAAGGGGGTTACATTCCAACACTGGCATTTAGCAGGAGCTCTCGTCCAGAGTGACTTACAAAGGTTACTGTTTTTTAAATGATATCCATTCATACAGCCCTGCTCCTCACCACTATTTTACACCCCTCCCCAGGTTACCCTATGGCCAGGATGGGACTATGGCCATGACCTCGAGTGACCTCAAACTTTATGCCGCGTGCCAGAACATCAGCTGACGTCTAATCCAGACAACGACATCTCCACCAGCACAGTGTCCCCATCACTCTCTCGGGGCACTGATCTCCTCTTTGGCCCAGAAGGAAGTCTGTCCCAGCAGCCACTTTCCTATCATGTGGCAGTGTAACATAGTGGTTAAGGAGCAGGGCTTGTAACTGAGAGGTTGCTGGTTCGATTCCCCACTGGGGCACTGCTGCTGTACTTAAGCCACAATTGCCTCAGTTCAAATGGATAACATTGTTAAAAAGAAAAAAAAACTGTAACCAATGTAATTTGTTCTATATAAGAGCATCTGCTAAGTGCCAACAATGTGATGAATTGTAATGATGTCTCTGATCAAGTACCAGCTAAGGTTAGCTCCACTTAGACTCAGGTATCAGGCCAGAGAAAGTGACACAGTGGTAAGGCTACTGGTTGGTTTGATGTTTGTTTTTTTTTTCCTCAAAAATCCTTCTTCAGAACCCATGACGTGTAAATTAGCAGTTTGTCTGCCCGCCAGCAATCTCCTGCCAATAAGTATGTATGCATATCAAAACAAATTTTTAGCATCAATTCGTTGATGGACACTGTGAGCATATACAGTGGAAGACTAAGGGAACCACATTAAGTGTAGGAAATAGGAGTGTAGGGAATATTTTCAGATCCGATCCAGGTCAGCGATGGAATTCATTCATAACATCATTGTTATGTAAAATATGACCAAATATGGTAAAACGAGAAAAAATGAAAAAAATTCTATTGTGACGTTATTCAGGAACTCTTCACGTAAAATAACACCAAATAAGGTAAACTGAGAGACACGAAGAGAGCATCTATATTCCTGCTTTTTAAGGAGCTCCTCTCGGGTTAAAATACGCCGTGAAAAATAACGCGTCCAGGAGAAGTAATTTCCCTCGACGTTTCTTAATAGGACAGTGGAGTGAAACTAATGAAGTCCTCGAAGAGAACAGAGCGCCATTTAAAAGTAATAACGTCTAAAAGAACGATAGGGGAAATGGTAAACTCGGAGAGAACTAGTTCGTAAAAAAAAATGATTATTCCCTCCTGCTGGGTCGAAGAGGAAAGGAGATTTCGCAGTCGAGGGGTGGGAGCTCGCAACGACGCGCGCTGGGTCCGCCGAGCTCGTGGGCGTGCGGGACCGGGGGGCTCGTGGGTGCGGTGAGGTTGCGTCGCGCGACGCCCGCCGCCCGCGCGCGCATGCGGCGCGAGCAGTCCCCCGCGGTGAGCGCGAGGATGTTGCGGGGCGTGCTAGAGAGCCGCGGCGGCGGCGCTCGCCGGGAGGGGAGTTCTGGGAAGGAGTGGGCGCCCCGCTCCGGTAATACCCCGGGTTATCATTAGCGTCTCTCTGTATAGCTCACTTAAAGAGCTCTCAGGAAGCGCCGCGTTCCCGCGGCCCACTCATTTCTATGTCTAACAAGGTTAAAAAATCTATTGTGATTCATAAACCGCAGTCGTGCTGTCCTTATGATTCCCGTCCTGGCAACAGCGCCAGCTCCCAACATTGCACAGGCTTAAAGAGAAACATCCAAAATAAATCGCTCTCAAATAGCTTGTGAACACAAAGTGTTAACAGCAGCGCATACAGAGTAATATTAAATTTTAGGGTAATGTTTTGCATAACCTTCCCCATTAATGTGTGACGGCGACCTTCATAACGGGTCTGCCTCTTGCGTCAGCAAGGCGATTAGATTTCAGCATCGGAAGTCGTACACGGTGTTCTTTTGCGATTACAAACGAGCTGTACCACGACTCCTAACAAATACCTGTTTCCACAAAACACCTTTTCAACGGTACAGCAGACTGAGACGGGCGCAGTTACCGTTGGCTTAATTGTTTTTTGCTTTCACCCTCCGAGATGCCCGCAGTACAAAGGCAACCCGCCCCCGTACAGGTAAGGTCAGTGCGCTTATTTCCTCTTATCCCATTGTTTCCCAACTGCGATCTACGCCAATTACGCAGCACATGACCTACGCATGAATAACCGTCTCAAATTCACCACGAAACTCACTGTTCACGGTACGCAGTGAAGCGTAGAATAATGACGCCCGACCGTCATTCCGCACCAGATAAAACCTTTCGCTTGGTGCCCCCCTGCGTTCAACTGTGTGCATTACACCACGGAAAAAGAGAAATTAAGTTAATCATGCAGTGTCAAAAATAGCACCATATTTATCTGAAACAATTTAAAAATATTTATTGTTGCAGAATAACAGAAAAAATAACCTAACAATTCAGAGACTGTGGTCTTGTCGCCATGGTTACAGTTTAACAATATAACAGTCCCACAAAACTTTCCCAACAAGCTCTATCCACAAACCAACAAAATTTCACCCAATTGCTGTTGTCTGATTTATTAGAATAAAATAACTAACTGGAGAGGCTTGTTAAAATGACATATTTCACCACGCACACCTTAAAAAAAAAAACCAGAGTCAACCCACCGTTTACTTAGAAACCATCAGTTCTTTCAAAGGGTCCCAATTAAACCCTATATCACAAGCAACGCAGTTTGGATCTGACCACAAACCAGAGAACTCTGAGCATTTTTTTGAAACAAAGACGCCTCTCTTACACTTGACTTTTTCCTGGCCCATCCCTCTTAGGAGGAGTTGTCAGATATGTGATATGTGAAATGCGGTTACGTTATAGGGGTTCTCCACTCCACGTCTATAACTTAACAAGTTATGAACGCTCACGCAGGAGACGCTACCCGTGACGACTGAAAAGGACACTCCCAGGAAGCGCTCACCCCCGCCCCGGCGACCGATGATGATGTCACTGGAGGGGAGGAAGCTGTGATCTGCTGATGTAAGCATGCGGAAGTCAGGGGTCCCTTTGGGGGGGTCCCCTTTTGCTGGATGTAGGCCTCCCCATGGCCTGCAGACAGTTTGCAGCTCACAGCTATGCTCCTGACCCCTCCACGATTGCACCCGTCATGTTTCTTTCAGCACCGTTAGCATTCAGACCTGTTACAGCACACATCGTGCCCGTCAGGCAACACATCAGATTACGCGCTCCGATTCGGGCGCCCCCAGTAAGGACGGCACCTCCACACCTCCATACGGACAGGCCCGTCATCACAGCCCGGCCATGATCAGGTGGGGTAGCGGAGTTAAACTACTTTCAAAATAAAAAAATAATAATTAAAAAAACAACTCAATGTCAAAACATACTGTAATCAGCGTTGATATCCGGGGTGCGGCTACGACCCCGACCGTTTGAAGACTAGTAGCCCTTTCACAGAGGCGGTGAGAGACCTGAACCTGTAAACTGAGGGGGGGAAGGGGGGAGGGCCCTGCCTCACGTCAGCCAGTGGCTCCAGCTCTTCCCTCTCCCTGGTTCCACCTGTCAACGGACAAAACGCAGCTTCCAGCAAGCAGGTAAACAGTGCAGATAAAGTGTGGAGCTGAAGGGGGCGACACTGAAGTAATCTGGTTTGCACCACCTTAAAGCGCACCTGGAACTCTCCCTAGACTCCAATCATCACAGATATCTCTACAGCGGCCGACGGCGTTGTATCCCAGGGTGCACTTGTGTGAATATCTGACTGACTCAGCTGTGGAGAAAGTGGGTAAGACCTTCAGTGCCCCCTCTCTAATGGAGCGGGCCTTCGGCCAGGCTGGGGTGTCCTTACCAGGACATGATTGGGTCCGCACTCCGCGTCACCTCTTACAACAATCACGATGAAAAGAAGAAGAAAGAAACGAAAAATGGCTGACAGCTCCAGGAACAGCACCACAGACGCCTGTCAGGTCCACTAAAAAACAGACTCTTTCACTGTGATCTAAACCGAGAATTAGGGGGGAATCGGAGGATGAGAGGAGAACCAACAGCCTGTCGAAGAGCAGCGCCAACTTCACGGCCAAGCTTCTGACCAATCAGAGAGGTGAAAGCCTTGAGGCCGCTGGATGGTGTCGCAATATGAAAGCCGCTGGAAATTCTGGAGGCGGGCTCTCCAGTCCTGGGGGCTGGCCAATCCCGGTGCATGCTGAGTGCATGGGGTGGGGAGGGGTCAGAGTTCATGGAGCATGAGTAGGAGGGGGAAGGATGTGGGATGGTACACAGGGACTGGCAGCATGGAGAATGTGGGCACCAGGGGGCGCCAGCACAGCACTAAGCTGCCAGCATCTCTTGCCGAGGCTTGCTCTTCTCCCTCTCCCTCTCTGAAAGAAGAGCAGAAAAACACAGTTTATGACAGCACTGCAACACTGTACTCCAGAGGACACACATGTCAAATCCTGCTTACCTAGACTGAAAATATGACCAGGACTCTGAGATAAATATGACTGAGAAAATTCTAACTGGGAAAAATGAGTGGCATTGGGGAGTTTTCGTATGTGGACTGTGAAAAGTGCCACAAAACCATAATCCAGACTGAATTTCAACCCAAATTAATGCACCCAGTCCCTCGACAGCATGAGGTCCAGCTAGATTTCCATGGATTTTCTGCATCGACAGTTTCTAGAGAGCAAAAAAAAAAACAGTATAATCAGGTGATGGAGTCAGAGGACGTGTCCAGGAAGGACCCTCGGACAGGTGCGGGTCTCGGCCTGCCCGCTGACCCGACCGTTTGCCTTCTCAGTCCGTAACCTCTGCGTCACAGGAGACGAAACGCTGGCAGGCGCATGTAGACCGGCCCGAAGGACTCTGTGTGGCGCAGCTGTGAGGCATTTCCAGCAGGGGGCAGTGACGGTACCTGGTTCTTTCTCCGGCTCCTTGGGTACCTCTGGCAAGGGTTCGGAGGGCACCTCCGGGAGCTCCATGTCCTCGCCCTGCTTGGGGGTAATGGGGGTGGGGGTCGGGGGAGAGAACACACCGTTTAAATCAGAGATACAGAAGCTATAAACGGGAGAGACTGGAGACCAGACTAGCTCTACCTCTTTCACAGATGACTTATGAAAAGAGACGTCAGGAATCTAATCACACTGGCCTCACTAAAGCACATGCCGATTCAAAAATGATTAACGAAGCCATGGCTATGGCTATTTAATGTAAAAAAAGAAGAAAAGTTGTTTTCTGAAATTGAGTAAATCACAAAAGCATTACAGATGCACAATAACTGCATATGGAGTGGAGTAGCAGACTCCGGGGTTGTGTGAGAACAGATTCAGCACAGTAGGAGATTTACTCTGGATCATAGGTAAGTGGTGGGCTGGACTGCCTATTCAAATCATTTGTTTTTTGTGTC